CCCATATTTCAGCATTGCGGTGTGGGTGTGCATTCAGTCCTTCCTCAGCAAGACAGCACCACAGCAAGAACCATGGTGACAATCATGATGGGAAGAGAGCAAACTGCAGAATGAGCGTCATCTTTAGCAAGTTCAATTAAAAGTTTTGACTCGTTCTGCATATTGTTAATTTGAGCTTGATTCACAACCCCTGGATATTTTGACGGATCAATGATGTTTGCATTCTCTTTTCCACTTGGTGAGGTCGTACCTGCAGCGGCAGCATCCTGAGTGTTATCGGAAGTTGTGGAAGGATTAACAGCAGCGCCAGCATCCCTTCTGCCGCGTAAAACTGTAGCGGTACCGTTATTTCCCTGATCTCCCTGCAGAGATGTAGGTCCTGCTGCTGGTGGTGCTGGATGTGGGTCAACAAATGGAACATGACTGCTGCCGTTTAATGCGATGGTGCACACCTCATCGTACTTGGGGCACTTGATCTTACCACCGCTTTGGAACGCAGAGGATTCGACGTTGATTGAGGTACCTTCGGGACAGTCGTGCCATTTGTCTTGGTTACCTTTGTATTTCACACTCACTGTTCGCTTCTCATAGTCACACGACACCTGTGCACACACACCATTAACGCTCTGAATCGTTTCTCCATTTTCCTTAACCTTCAGTCCTTCACCATCCAGACACCAAGAATTAGGGCCCTTAATGGATCCTGGGAGTGTTTCAGCCTTGCTCTCATCATTACAATATAAAGGATCTTCTGACGTAATACGTCCAATATAATAACTCTCACTTAAGTTACAGATGCGCTGATATTCTTTGGATAATCTTTCGTTAAGCAGAAACTTCCCGTACGCAGTACGGTCCGATGTGCATCGAGAAAACTTTTCATCAATGATAATATCATAGAATTCATTATGTTTCTTCCTGCAATCCTTCTCAAGGAAGGGACATCCACTCTGATTCCCCCAGCTCATTTGTTCCTCCATTCCCCAGTTTGCCTTGTAGTACTGCAGATCCTCAAACAATGCCATTGTGAGTGCTGTGTAGTAACCAGCGCCATAGTTGTAATCCGACGGTGCCATCAACTCATCCTTTGCAATGCGCCTGGACCAATGCGGTTGGATTTCCCCATCGATAGTCTCCAGTTCCATTCCCTCCAAATCAGGACAACTGTAGTGTTTTTGTGCTTTTTCCACTGTTCTTGTGGATTTTACCAACGCACGAGTTTCCTCACTGAGCTCCACATCGGGCAACATGCCTTGTTTCTTCTGCATCTCAGCAATTTTGAATCCCAGTGCATGTGCAATCTGTTGTGCAGCACGACGAACGTTCAATCGCAGGCCACCACGCGCTTCACGAACGTAACTCACTGCTCCAACGATTGGACGACCTGTTGAATCCCAGGCACAAGTATAACCGAACGTCGTTTTTGTGGCAATAACGTAGAGGGCAAAGTCAGCATCAACACCCACATCGCGGTGCTCTTTGGGTACAGTAAAAAAGTTGCAAGCTTCATCTTTAAACTCAGGAACCTTCAGCTTTCCACTCACAGGGCGAACAAGCAGACGATCCCTGTGCAGTTGGATAGCAGCAGGAATTACTTCATTCATGAGTTCGTTCCTTTCCTCCGGAGGCAATCGTTTATAACCGCACTTCTTATCATCTTCGACTGTTACCTTCGTATGTTCTGCTCGTCCATCATCTTCCCCAAATCGGTTTTCTCTTATAACTTTTTCTTCGTGCTTTGTCTCATTTACTTTACTGCACAACAATAAATGTTCATCCAAGTTCTCTGTTAACGCCTTAATGCGGATCAGCTCCCATCCTTCATTCTCATTCTTCTTCTGTGTGGAGACGGCGTACGCCTGCACACCACTCTGTCCCTTGCGGGGCAACTCCCGCACAACACCAGTCG